TGTGAGAGAGAGAGAGAGAGAGAGAGAGAGAGAGAGTTTCTCTCACGCATGCGCAGCACGAACAGTAGGTCACGAACATAGGGCTAAAAAAGACGCAATTAGCCTAAAATTGACCCCAAGCAACCCAATTTCGATCTATGTCCGTGTGCAAAAGTTTTTTCCAGGTGTAACATGAGTTTCTTTAATGTCGCTGAGGTTTTGAGATCTGCTTACCATTCTAAAGTCCTACTATTTGGAATAATTCTAGTATTAAAATAGTTTGTAATGAGCGTATAATTTCTACTGTGTTTAATGGATCAAATTTGCTAATGCTATAGAGCTTGTTTTACGAGGAAAGCGATTTCAATTAAAATTGTTCCGTCTTTTAAAAAAAAAGAAGTCAAAATCTGGACTCCAGGTGTCCAGCCTTGACCTTCATAATGAAAACAAAGAATCGAAACCTATATAACAAGTCGATACCATAATTGTGAATTCGATCAAAGATCGTATTTGCTTTGGTATATAATTTCGATCCAACAATTGATTGAAATTGAAAAGTACAGATTGCAAAAAACAAATGAACCATTAAATTTTGTCATTCTGAGGCTATCTTTCGGTAGATCTATGTCCAAGAATCCTTACTATGAACCGGTGCTTATTATAATGTGGGTCTGCTGATGTTCTCAAATATCAGGGAATATTAATTAAAGAGCCGCTAGATATTCCCAAACTCATCTCGCTTGACATTTGTACATATAATTATGTTTGTTTCATTTTGCCATGGACATTATGTAGGTGGTGACTTATGACTTTCGAACTCCGTTTCACATAAATATTGTGTCGGGTGTTTTCTGCGTTCCCACGGCGTTTATAGATCTAGTTTTTTGTGTGTTTTTTAAAATCAAAGAAGGTAAACTGCTTATTAAATATTTTTCCTTGGTTTTTTTTGTGTGATTGTTTCTGTTTCAACCGACACCGATTCGTTGTATCTGTCCACACTGATAAGTCATTTCATAACTTTTTAGGCCATGTAGCATTTGGCTGAGGACGTTTTTGCAACCATATATTATGTACGTATTGTGTTGTCAGTACAAGAGTACATGATTAAATATGCTGCTGTCAATATCCCCATTTGTCTCTCTACTGCATGCACATATGAAGCCTGGCCTTTTCTCTTTTCTTTAAATTCTATCTGTCTGTCCAGAGTAAATATATGGAAATGGTATATTATTATATTTGTACACATTTATTATTTTTATTAATTTTATTATTATTATTATTATTATTATTATTATTATTATTATATAATAATAATAATAATAATTATTATTATTATTATTATTATCATTATATTATTATTACAATTATTTATTATTATTATTATCATCATTTTATGCTTTTTGTAAAACATTGTCAGTTCATCACGAAGAATATTAAATCTAATTCATGAGAAAATCGTTACCTAAGTACTCCCAATAACTGACTTCTTTGTCTTCATTTTTTTTTCACAGATGCAATAGAAAATATTCTTGTTGCCAAAAACGAACCGAAAATGTTTTCTGAATTCGCAGTGAATATTGATATAATAAGTTTATTCGATAACCATGTAGTTGTACTCGAGATAGATCCACAGATATTTGTGTACTCGACTACTTAATAAATATCGGTCGGACGAGTGCCGCAATAGTGCCGAATGCAAAAACATAAAAAATTGATTGAAATTCTCTCTCACTTCTCACCCACGGTAGCCAGACTAGAGTTGACTAGACTCAGTATCAGTAATCTTTTTAGGGGGGAAATTAAGCCAGCCTAACTGTTTCAGGTCTCATCGACTGCAGATAAATCGCTTAGTCTAACCCTAACTCACGCATTGGCTTTTTTTTAGTCTTTCGATCTCAATTCACCATCATCGTCATTGATCTAGACTCTAGTGTTGGTCCCGGCAGCCACCACCCACTCGTCACCGCCCCGCTCACAATAAAAAGAACAAGATGTGTGTGAAAGTGAAGTGCAGCAAGTGTGGCAAGTTCACATGGAGAGGTTTGTATTCCTGAGTTTAATGATACCCTACTGAGGTCTAGATTTAAGCTACGACTTGTTCTTAAAAGGACCAGACATACGGCACGGACACTGACACTGATCTAGACAGATCCATGTGTCTCGGTTCCAAGCTCAGGAGGGCTCCGACAGGGGTAATATAGCGAGAGAGATGGTGATGCCTTGCCATAGCCAATAGATTTAGTCTCTATGGTAGGGATGGCGATAAGGAGACAATTGAGTAATTGAGAAAAAGATAAGCCTGATATTAGATAATGATTTGTGGTTGTGTGAATCCTGGAGTAGCCTATCCTACTTTGAAAAAAAAGTTTTTCTCTTCAATGTTTGTTTAGAACTATCATTTCGTTTCTGTGCACTTTTATCATAATATGCAGTTCATTTATATAAGTTCATATGTTTCATTTTCACAGATTTTTTTGACCAGCTACCGTGTTGTGTTGGTCAACTGTTGGTTCATTTTGCTCACCTTCATATAGCCTAATGTCAGTTGCACATTGTAATTGTTGCACTCTTTCCAACAAAGTCATCAGGTCCAACAATTGATTTAGCTGGATTCAAGGCCCTGGTGAAAGGCAGGGTAGTATAATTTTCAATTGATAATGACAGGGTCGTAAATATTTTGCACTACAGGCACAAGTATAAAGGGAAGTAACAAGTAGTTTCCTGAAATTATTACAGAATATGAAAGGTTGCCTCCCTTTGCATTGGCTTCAATTATAAACTCCTGCATCTTCTGTATTGCATTTTTTGCCAAACAAGTCATGTTGCAGTGTAGGACCTAGCGTACTGTAATATCTGGTTCCACAGCCCATTGCACACATTCATTATTCATTATGTAGCCTAGATCTAGTTTTTTGTTTGGGTTTTTAAATAATTTTTCAACACCCGGGGGGGGGGGGGGGGGGGGGGGAATATGACTTATGTGTCTGTATCATCATCTTTGCTGACATTCCACTCACTGATTGCTTGTGTCTCCTCCTCCCCACCCCCCTCCCTCCCCCCATCGTGTCAAAATGTTTATTTCTCTATTTACAAATAACACAAATTATTAAATGCTTAAAACAATATCAACATCATTAAAGCATTCTACATTTGATTACCTTTACAAAAAGACACCAAATCTGTATTTTATTTGTTTGTGTAAAACTTGTTTGTATTTTTTATTTAGGAAATTTAATCCCTCAAAATTGCGGCCCTTTTGAATATCAATTCCGATGATTGATGAAGTGGGGGGGAAAATTATGACTCTAAAGGGTTAAATTGAATTCCCTTATATCATAATCCCCCCTTGACCCTCTATATATAAATCATTAGTTTGTATGCTCGTAAGGAGAAAATTTGTGTCTTATAATAATAATATATTGATTGGCACCTCGTGTCAGCAGCTCTTCGTATAACTGTGTGTGGTACATTTTCAGGAAGGCATTGCTCTAAAAATTGTAACAGTTTTAAATAACAATTTTTCAAAACCAATGGTATGAATTCGGATATATTGAACTTCTTTTGCAGCATGTTTTAATACTGAAACATTGTCAGCGATGGGACTCTTAAAAGTTTAACAGAAAGGTGGGCGTCATCAGTTTTTGTTTTCTTCTTTTTTGTAGCTGTTGAAAATCATTGGTTTCTTTCAGGTTGTGGTGCTCACGTCGAGCAAGTCATGGCGGAAATTCCACCAGAGCAACGGTGCCAGTGCCCTCGGTAGTTGGAGAAAGCTGTCGGCTCTTATCCTCTCGCAGGTGAAAAATAGTTTTTCAGTGTCACAAAATGAGTAAGGGGGCTCTTGTGGTCTAGAGGTTATGGTGTTCGCCTCTCCTTTCACCTCCTGTCCAGCTCTCTAACCATGTTCTATCGTCTGCTTTTGTCTCCACTTTCTGCCCCCTCCCCTTTGCCCCCTCGTCTGGCTTCCTGACTCTTTCTACAGCCTTTCTACTGCTACTCCTTAGCTCCTTCCTACTGCTGTCTTTCAGCCACACCCCTGATCTTATGGTAGGTAAGATAAGACCTTGCCTTCTTGATAAGGGCAAAAAATCTCTGAGGTCTTGTATGCGAGTTGCTCATGTTTAAGATCCCGTGATGGTCCTAAAATCAATAAGAGTAGGTTCGCCAGCCATCTGGGGCAAAATTAAAAATTCCTAGCCAACTGAAAATATTTAAATCCTGCATGCTCATATTTATGAACATGACCTTATGCCGTTGTGAGCACTGTAAAACGCTTACCAAAACAGACAAAAAACAAAATGAGTGACTTTCTCATTTTTCTAGTTTGGTATGGAGAGTAAGCTCTTATCATCCAGAATGACATGCTCTGTGTCGTTTCTATCTACCCTCTTCTGCCAGAGTGGGTGGTTGACAGGTGCTTTGATGTGGTTTGCTCTTTTTTTCATTTCAAACATTTATTGTCCTTCTCTCTCCTTTTTTTTTCTTTATTACTCTCTTGTAGCACTGCTAATCTTCAGCACTTATATGACCTAATTTTTCTTAATAGCAGTGCGTTGTATCACCAAGTTGGAGGATCTAGAATCTGAGTCACTCTCCAGATCAAGATTGGTAATGAAATTCCTCTACAGTACACCTACTCAATCAATCTCAATATCTGCCTCCCCAATGTTGCAGATGGTTAATTTTTTAGTATAGTGAATGAGGTAGATCTAGATCTTAAAAATGTCAGCGATATGAAAACGAATGCAAATTCTAAATGAATGACTGTGCAGATTTAATTCTGGCTCTTCTAGAAATTCCATGAAATTAATCCTGGTGATAGGAGTTCAACGACCCCATTTGTCATTAGTTACTGTGTATGTAAACCTGATCGCTTTTCTATTGCAGGGATAACATTTCAGGCCCAGTGGTCCTGTTACTGTTATAGCTGTGGGCCACTTTAGTCACTCCCCATTGATTGTGTACATATTTTATTATGTGTCATGCACCATGTGTGTGGGAGGGGGGGAGGAAAAACTTGATGTACTTTAGTGTCGATGCAAAACCAGTCAATGACTTGGTGTGACCTTGGTGTGGCACATCGTCACATTGTCTCCCTGTGGAGTGATGAGACTTTTGAACAGAAATAAATGAGTGAATGAAATGTTAGCATTTGTGGCGTAGTCTACGGTAGATCTGTAGATGTGTTCTTTTCTCAAACTATTCTATTTTTTAAAAGTCGTAAAGCGCACAGAGCATGCTGAAGAGCATGGATAGGCACTGTACAAATGCTATTATTATCACCAGTGCATCTCAAATTATTTGTAGTCAACCTCCATGAGACTAAGATACTAAAAAAAAGAAGATATAAAGATGAGGAGAAAAAAATATTACTGGAAAAAAGGAGCAATAACTGGTAGATTGGTGGGAATTTGGGTAATCTCATTCATTAATCATTAGTTTCAGTGTGGAGCTTTACCCCCCCCCCCCCCCCCATCCATAATAGGATTCGGCTATAAAAAAGATATCACGTCAGTCCCTGCAATCCTGATCCAGCTGGAGCCTACTGTAGCATCAGCATAGCCATAACATTATAAACTGCAGTAAAATAAAAATTAGTTAATTGAGATGTATATAAACAGAGTAGCAGAAATGGAACACTCCTGACACTAATGTTATTTTTATGTTAATGTATGTTAACTCTTTGATTCTAGCCTGCCACTTTAGTGGCGTTTTTGGCTCTGCCTTTCAGCAGATGGCCAGTTAAGTAGAAATTGCATGTTGTATTTCTAAACATTTTTTAAAGCCCAAGATCTACACCTGGTCATGTGCTACTTTTACTCCCTATTTTCACCCATAGCCACATTGTGATTCTCTGTCCAATTATGAATAGTTTGAGTGTTCACGCAAACAGGTTCATCATTATTTGACTGAATTATAGCCATTTTAAGGTAACATCCTTTGCGTTTGGGTGTGTAAAATTGTGGAATCCGCTGTGTGCGGAAAGAGTTTAAAAAGTTGTTGAATTTTTTTAATTTTCAGACTTTGCATTGGATGTAGTCTACTATACTAGTCATTTCATCTTTTTGTGTTATTTGAATCTTGATTGACATTTTTGTTCATTGACTTGAGCTAATAGTTCATTTGATAAGCAGCTTTCACATGAAGACTCCTTCTACTTTTCATTTCAGAGTGGCTCTGCCGATGCAGGAACCAACAAGATGCTTAAGATGGGACACAGTCCAAGAGATTGTTTTAAACCATGTTTCCTGTCTCACAGGGTCCAAAATTGATCTATGAGATGACTTTTTGGGGGGGGGGGGGGGTGAAACTTGAAAGTGGGATCTTTCATATCGTTGGTGCTGCAAGCAATCAATCCACTTAACTCAGGCCTTTTTTTTACATCCGAGACAAAAGACCTGTCTTTGTTGTATGCTGTGTTCTTTCTGTCATGAATCATGAAAAGGAAGAAAATTGTAAGCCTAGACCATAGCATAATACTGCATAGTGGTGATATTGAAAAGTGCATCTTTGGTAGAGATTTGAGAGGGTGTGGAAATATAAAATTCTCAATATTTGGATTGAAGTGGATTGTTTGCGGAAGCAACGATATATATAGATCTAATGTGGGGTCTCTTATTCAGCTCATATCAGATTCAGCTATTGCTGATATTGCTTTTCTTTGAAATGAACTTCCTGCTTATATATTATAGTGTCGTAAATATCTAGTTTTCCCTCTCTGTGTTTGCTCTTAGACTTTATAGGATGTTGATCAAAACCTTATTATATTTATTTCACCACTGTGTTTGCTTTAAATCTTTTGGCAGAGGTCCATAGTTCTAATTTTTCTGTTATTTGTATTGTAACCAAGGGACCAGTTTTCTGCATTTATAATTCACTTTTGTGCTTTTCTTCTTTTAGCTTTATCCTTTTCTTAGAGATGCCCATTTTCCAGATTTTGGAAATTTTCTAGTCTAGATTTTGTCAGACATGTGCGTCATGTCTTATTGCACTTTGTATAAAAATAGTCTCAATACAAGATGTACGAGACAATGTGATCCGTACATTTTCCGCGGGGTCCAAAATGTTCCGGATTTTTTGTTCATAGCCAGCTGGTACCCCTGGTCCATACATACCGGTATGACTTTTCCGGTGACAGCGGACAGCAATAATCTAGGCCCATTTTTTTAGAAAGGTTTCACCAAAAGTTTTTCTGTAAGAAATTATTTTCTTTACTTGAGCATGTAAATGATAATCGCGGTTTAGTTTCTTTGGAAAGGTAAATGCTAAAAAAACTTAAATTCTGCATTTTTTAAATGTGATAAATTAAGCTTGGCATATAGAGCTATCTTCATATTTTGTATGGAAAGCATTTTGTGCTTTTCTGTTTTCTCAAAGAAATTTTGTTTGAATTTTAAAGAAAGTGTTGATACGGTATCAATTATGCATCCAGACTGGACTTAGCCCTGTCCATTATTAGTATGCAGTTTTCAGCAAGCAGTTTATTTTGTTGGATTTTTATTTCCAGTATAGAATTTATATTAAAGAGGACTGTTCCTCTACGCAACCAGTGCATCCTGTTATACATCTCGTCCACTTGGATTTGCTCATCTTTTGTCCTGTTACCTTTTTAACCACATGAGGTGGTTATGATAATGCCTTTATGCTTATCTTTTATAGCTCAGCCAGTCTCCTGCCGACTATACAAACATGAAATGCAATTTTTATCAGTTGAGAGTCTGAGACAGAGTGATATTGTTAGAAAAACATAAACCAACGGGTGTTTTCCTATATATATATATATTGCCATTAATTGCCTTTCTACTCTTTGTTATGTTCTGATGTTTCCTACTCTTGTTTAAATAGATCTGAAGAAATCAACAAACCTTGTCTCGTTGTAGTTTATTTATTTATTTATTATAAAAATTATACAAAGGGCATGCTTTTGCAGTGTTTGTATTTTATTATTCCACCATAAATCGTAACTCTACTGACACAGACACCAGTGATGTCACTGGCAAATGAGCTATATTTAAAACTGCATGGACTGACCAAAGGTAAATAGCCAAGTGCAGATACACATAGTGATGATGAAAAGAATTTTGTGGGAAAATAAGATGAGAATGATTATTGTTTACTTGTAATTGTAGTGGACTTTAAAAAATGTTCCCAGAAGTTTCTACACACATGTACATGGGGGTTGGTAGATTGCCTTCGTGTTGAGTGCCTCAGGCTAAAGTTGAAAGCATGGATGTACTTCCTGTCTCATGAACGGCTTGTGTGGTTGAACTCTCTTATCCCCATTTCTTGCGCAGTGCCTTGTTTGTGTAGATCTGTACTCGTGGTGTCTGGAGGGTAATATAATTTCAGATTATTATCTCTTTATTTAGTTATCTTTAGACTTTGTCCAAAGCTAAATAAATGTCTCTGAAAACAATGAGGCACATCATCAGGAATATGCAAGTTCTTTTGTGGTTTTTTTGTGTAAAGGACATGCAAAGATAACTTATGGTTTCCTTACTCCATGAGAGTAGTTCATTTTGGTATTGCAAATTTAAATATCGTTACTTGATACTTGATATCGCACATCTTGTGTTGGTCTTGAAACATGAAAAGGTAATTTTATGAAAACTGAGAAACAATGGGCAGCATTAACCCCAATGTTGGCTAAAAGTCACAGTCACCGTAACACTACCCCCAGTTTATCTGACATAATATAACATCATTCTTTTATTTTTTTTAAATTGCTCTTTTACAATTAGAGCTCTTTATTTACGCATAATGTAGAGAATAATGATAAAATAATAAATTAAAAATAGCATTTGTATAACGCATATCCCTGCTCGACAGTAAGCTCTATGCGCTTTACCCTACACTATATTATTACCCCAGCAGACCATAGAACACTCAGAAACATTCTCAGTTTCCTGGGAAAGCAGCTGATTGAGCGCTCAAACACTTACTAACTTACAAGATCTTTTACTGTCTATAGCTGGGTACCCATTCCCACCTTGGTGAAGTGAAGAAAATTCATGTAAAGTGCCTCTCCCAAGGACATGACGTCGGGTCCCTGATGGGATTCTAACTCATAACCTTACGATTCTGAGTGTGGGAGCTTAGTTCTCTACATTTGTATGTAATTTTCTTTAGGTACTGTAATAATACTGGTGTCTGTGGTGTAACATCTTGGCTCGTGACCATCCTGCCCAAAAGACATGAGTTTGATTCCCGTAAGGAGAAGTGTATTTCTTTGACTTTTAGTGTCTTTGTTCTTTTGTTCGGATGCTGTATCCCAGTTGTATTTCATTGAGTGTGTCTGTTCTACATGTATTGTTGGGATGCTGTACCCCCCCCCCCTCTGCCTGTGCAGATCTTGACTAGCATTGGTTAAGCAGCCAGCCTCCTTAAAAGTTACCTAAATTGTGTCAATGGGGATGAAAACCATTGTTTGCTGCAAGCTGCCCTTTGTATTGGTTTTTTTTTTCACTTTGTAATTTCGATTTTACATCACAAGGATATTGAATTCTATATTTTTATAATACTAATACTCATTCCAAGTGTTCAAATTGCCGTGTGATAATAAAAGCACTGATATTTTAACACGCCAGATGATTTCGTTCTTTTTTTTTTAAAACAGCATTTAATGTGTTCTGTACTGTCTGTATATATATTGTACATGTATTATAGATTGTCTCCAGATTGACCGGTGTCTGTGGTGTAGCAATTAGATATTTGGCTGGGTGTACGCAGTAGACATGAGTTCGATTCTTCAGTGGGGAGAAACTTTTAAAGAGTTTCTCTTTCTGCTGAGTTGTTGCCTCCCTCTCAACCTAGGGTGGCCCAGACGGGCCGGGTCGGAACTCGCCTCCTAAAATACTAAATGATCTAAATTGTGTCAGTGAGGGTGTAAAAACACCTACTATTAAAAGTATTTTTTTAAAAATTCTCCAGATTAGATGATACCACTACCGTCTGTGTCACTTCATTATTGTATGCAAAAGGCCCAAGTTTGATTCCTGTAAGGGGAACATTTTTATGAAGTACATATATATATATATATATATATATATATATATATATATATATATATATATATATATATATATATATATATGTATCTTAGTCTTTTTCCAGGGATGTTGTACGTGTTTCTTTCTCTGCCTGTGTTGGCCCTGACAGGCAGGTCAATGCCCACCTCCTAAATTATAAAAACTGTGTCGATTAGATCATTAAAACTCCCTACATCAATAAAACAATTTTAAGGTGCATGTATCATTATGTTTATAGTGCCTTAAATAAAACATACCTAAACAAAAGAATAATGAGATATATTAACTTAAAAAGAAACTTCTTTATTTCTATTGTATTAAATTGTTCCTTAGTCTGTCAATATGTGAGTGGTTGGCGGGTGCTCTGGTGTGGTTTGCTCCTTCTTTCCTATCAAACATCTGTCGACTTTAGCTCTCCTCCTTTTTTGTGTATGTTACTCTTTTGTAACGCATCTATTCTTCGGCACTTATATGACCTTATTGTGTTGCAAGTGCTGTAAAACTCATACTAAAACTTTAAAAATCTGTCAATATCACAATCATTTGACTTTACATTTGTGCAATGAAGTCCACTTACAATGAATTTTGATTAGATTGTATCTCGTTTAAGATGTAATTTTTCCAATTTGTGTTTAGTACAATAAATAAGCTGAAAGCATCCGAGCATGTATTTTGCTTATGGTGAACTGTTCAGTGGCTGTGCAAGGCATAAAACAAAGTTAAAAAAAAGCTTTTCTCTCTCTCTCTCTCCTTCTTCAGGTGGTTTAAGGGGGCCTACTACTGTCCTTTCCATCCATCTGTTGTTTCAGTTCGTATTTCTTGAATTTTTCTCAGCAAAAATTTGTGTCAACATGCTCCTCTTTAAACAAGCAAACTCTGTCCCTGTCTGTCTGTCTGTCTGTCCGTCTGTCTGTCTGCCTGTCTGTCTGTCTGTCTGTCTGTCTGTCTGTCTGTCTGTCTGTCTGTCTGTCTGTCTGTCTCTCTCTCACTCTCTCTCATAAACTGTACTTTATATAAGACTGGTTTAATCCGCTGGCTTCACGTTCATCATCAGCCTTTCACTTCGGGTTGGATGAATGAGAGCTTTCCTATAATAATTAATAGAACATTCAGCAGAGACATTTTCGGATTCCCAGGAAGCATAGGCCTGCAGTGCAAGTTGCAGATTGCACATGCTCAAACACAAACTGACAAGATCTTTAACTGTCTATAGGATGCCCATTCCCACTTGTGTGAAGTGAGGAAAATTTGTGTGTAGTGCTTCTCTAAAGGACACAACGTCTCTACCCTGACGGGATTCAAACTCATGACCTTACGGTTGCAAGTCCAAGAGTTTCTGATTTCCATTGGTTACTTCTCTCTTGCCCTTTTTAACTCCCAGTGGAGCACAGGCCATCAACAACATTACTCCAGCAAAGCCTGTTCTGAGCATCTTTTTCTATCTGTTTCCATGATGTCCCCGCTTTTTCAATTTCCGTTGATACCGCTCGCCTCCATGTCATCTTTATTGGTTACTTAGTTGTATAAAATCGCTTTTTGCTTTTTCTGTTTCTTATATTGACATCAGCGTTCAAATCTTGTCTGTTATGCTTCAAGTAAGTGAAGGAATCAACTTCCTCTTGTGGTGCATCGCTCAAAGTAATCTGTGGACCTTTCATAATTTTTCAAAAGTGCGAAATTTTATTTCTCCAACGCTGTAACTGCTGAAACTGAGCTCTAATGATGGCACATTTTGGTGGTGCTTACCTGCCAATTTGATTGTTCATTGGCAGGTGTATTAGTGCCTCAAAATGAACATTTGAAAACCACAGTCATCACTTTATCATATACAGAAGTAAAACAGCTTTGAAAAAAGCTTTCGAGATGCTTATAGAAATTTTAATTTCTCTTGATGAAAAATGTTGAGTTTGAAAAACTAACAGATGGATTATTTGTCTTATGAATCGATTAGACTTTGATTCAGCCTGCGAGGCAAAACTGGCAACCGCACCCGGTCAATTTTTGTTTTTGCTTCAGAGAGATGGGTCTGTTCTGGACTCACTTAGTTTTGTGGCCAGTCTCAAAACCTCTCTTTTTTGATAATTCTCCACTCAGTCGCTGAACACTTTCTCTTTTTTCGTCAATAAGGGAAATAGGGGTCAAGAGAGAACCATCGAACATTTGCTGGCGTCTGTTTTTTGGACTGTTTTGATTGAAGTTGATGATGTGTTTGCCGTCTGAGTCCGAGTCTCCTGCCTGCTACTGACAAGGCTACTGCTGACATAGATCTAGATCTAGATCTAGTTTTACGCTACTATTCAGTCTGTTGTGTTACAGTGTTAGTTAAGACAAAATTCATATGACAGTATTGTGGTTATTGTTGATCTTAGCCTCAGTTCTCCAAGACCATTTTGTGAACCAGCTATGAGTTTCCTCCTTCCAAACCTGTGCTCGAAGAAAGAAGTTGATGAAGTCATTAGAAATACAGAGGACCTTGTTCTTGTTCTAAGATTTGGCAGAGACACAGATTCAAGCTGTTTGCGTCTTGATGATATAGTGAGTTGATTTTCACCCAGGTCTTGGTTTTTTTTATGTAAATATGATAGTTTACTGACTATGCTATGATAAAAGGTGTCATGATGTACATATATTTAGTTCGAAGTGGCTAGCCGTACTTTCTTGTACGGCTAGACTCACTTAAGTACGGCTAGACTGCCAGTCTAGCCGTACTTAGATCTAGGTTTGGTCCTATCGACTCAAGCCTGTTATGTACACAGGTCTCATTAGATCTAGATCTAGATCTAAAATCTAGATCTAGTAATTATTCAGGTTCAAATACATGCAAGTCAGTAAGGCACCTTTTTGTTTTGTCTGAAATACAAATACTTTAGGCATTTCAAACTAAAAATTTCATTTACAATTCAGCCATCAATATTAAGTACGGCTAGCCTGACAGTCTAGCCGTCCTTAAGTACGG